CCTCTGAGCTGCAGTTTCTTGCTACCGAGCCTCTGCCTCGCTCTCTGCCCCTTCAGACTAGCCAGCAGCAGTTAGCAAACACCTGGTGGAGCTGCTGAGCTCATTACAGGAGCTACTTCTCAGAGCAACGCTGGTAAAAATGTTGTTGAAGGGTCAACAGAGGAGTCTTCCTGAAGGTGGAGTTTCTTAGAGACAGAAACCCAAAAAAAGCTACTTTCAAGTTAGTCTTATTTTACGTGTTCTAGTAAATTTGCACTATAAACTAGACCAAAAGTACTTGGTAAGATTTCATGTTTTTACAGTGTAGTCTCCGCAGTAGTAGTGGTAGTGCCTGGATATAAAAAGTGTATAAATGCCCCTTTAAATGTCCTTTTTCTTCCAGTTCAAGGTGAACGGCGAGTGGTGGACTTGGATCGACTACGACCGTTTCCAGGATCTGGTCCAGGCTCACGAAGACAGCGGCGGACAGCAGACCTTCTCAGCCTTGGACTACACCGCCAAGACCCCCAGCTGGGCTTTGTTTGGGTCAAACGAACAAGGGTTCGACCCGGCCGACACGCGCTTCCAGCGGCGCAACAAAACCAAAGATATCTCTGGGTGCTGATTCTGAAGATGAGAATGAATTTAAAGAAACAGTAAAAATGAATATCGGCTTTATTGTTCGGCTTTTCCCTCTGGCTTTGTTTGGATCTTTAAATGTATTTGCATCGCAGCTGGATGAACAGAAAAATACCTTTTATTGTTTCTTTTTTTAATGGATGTACATAGATGGCTCAGTTTTTAATCTCCTTAATTTCTCGTTGTTAAACCGGATTGTCCTCCTTTAGAAAAAAAAATGTTCCAGTTCCTCTTGCTCTTCCTTTCTGCTTGTACTTTTTTCTTATCCCTAATTTCAGTTTAAAAGTTTCATAGTTTTTTTGTTTTTTCAACTCAGGGTCAGGATTTTTCAAAGCATCCCTCTGGTGTCAGAGTTTTTATTTCCCAGTCAACGGCTGTCAAAATATTTACAATAAATGGGTTTGAAATAAAAATGTGAAAAACTTTTAAAATCTCAATGGCTTTTTAAAACGAAGTATCAGTTCCACTGTCAGATAAATTAACTTATAACATGGGGAGATATCAAGTAAAATGATCTGCTAGTGGAGTAAGAGCTTCTTCATCAATATTCACTTAAAACAAGCTTCAATATCTTGCTAAAAAGTTACGTTAGTTAAATTAGTTTGGTCTTATTTCAAGTGTACTAGAAACTAGACCAAAAATACTTGGCAGGTTTTTGTGTATTTTTATGCCTGATTGGTGCTTTCACTTATAGCAAGACACTTTTCCCATGTTTTAAGTTACTTTATCTGCCAATCGATGACGTACTTGTTCATCGGTATTAAGGAATTATTGACTGTAAAAGTTACTTTTAAGTTGGTTTGTCTTATTTCAAATGTGCTGAGATATTTGCACTAGAAACTAGACCAAACTTACTTGGTAAGATTTTGTTTTTTGCAGTTTAACTGAAAAACAGGTTCTCCTCCTCACCTGTGGGGGGCGCTGTACCAAGAACCTCTGAAGAAGACACTGAGCGCAGTTTCTGCAATCATGAAATGTGAACCATAATGGAGTAGTATCAGGTTTTATCGATTCTGGGATTTTTGTTTTGTTGTTGATATGAGCCATTTCTCCCGCTAGCGCTAACCCCATGTGTTTGTTTTGGTTGTATTTACCCAGAATGCCCTGCGCTGCAGTTCACTTCCTGCTTTTGGAGTCTCCTGCCTGCTTGATGTTTATATGCTTTCAAACCGAACCAGAGTTCATTTTCTTGGTCAACATCAGAGTCCGATTATGTATTCAGACCTTCCCAAACAAACCTGGACTTTTTTTTATTGCATATTTTAATATAGTTAAAACTGAAATTATAAAATTATCTTTCATTTGACTCCTAAGTAGAGAGTCTTGTGCAGAGACTGTTAATTTAACGCTTCTTTGTTTTCCTGATCTCACCTTCAGCAAGTCAGCATCAGCAAGTAAGTAAGACTTTCTGCTTTGCTGGAGTTCATTAGAGCATTTTCACGCTCATTTGTTTGATTTGCATCAGCCTCACTGCTGACATCCAAACCCATTCAGGCTGCAGTAAAGTTTTATTTTGCTGGAAAGCTGCGGAGCTGTGAGGGAATGACCTTGACCCGCTCATTTACAAACCCTTTCTTCAAGCAAAGTGACTTAATTAACCAAACGACGTCGCCTCGCAGGCTGACGCTTTGTTTCTGCGCGGAAACCTGACGGCTGACTGGTAAACCACAAAGCGATCCGATGAATCATAAAAAATGCAGCCTCTGAAATGAGTGTTAAACTGCAGCAGGGAGATTAGGGGAGATGTGTGCTAATTGCCTGCTGTGTCCTGGATCTCTGCGTCTCCTCAGGCTCATGCGGTCTGTTCCTCAGATTCCTGCCTCCGTTTCCCCCCATTAAAAACTTTGAAGGTTTCCAGTTTTACAGTTTGATTTGTAATGACTGAAATTGCCCAGTTTAATCTCAATGAAACCAATTGAAAATACAGTTTTGTTGGATTTATCATTATGATTTTAAAAGTGATGGGTGAAAATAGATTTTTTTGACGCTGTCAGTCAAAATGGCCTACAAAGAAAAGGTCTGCCCACTGCGTCTTGATCCGACTCAAAAAATCCAGACATGTTTGTTTGAATGAAGTTGGGTTTGCTGCAACAAAATACAAATTAAAACTACACAGTTTGATTCTCTGGGTGTTTGTTTTAGATTCTCTCACGATGAAAATTTCTCCATTTTTAAGTGGGAAAAATATTGTTGGTTTATTAAATGTTTATTTTTCTCACTTTATATAGCACTATTAAAAAAAAAAACATTTGAGTGTGAATTACTGAATCAATGAACAATTATTTTATTTTGCTGTTGGAGATAAAAAGTCAAAATCGGTGAATTTAAACTGCAGCAGTTGAATGAAAACATTTTTATTAGTTGCTTCACACCGGAGGTTTGATTCCAACTAATGGACGGAAACGCTGCTGCAGTTATGATATTTGTAAACAAAGACGTATAATGTGTTGCTAAAAGTGGAAATCCAGGAGTGACTGTTGTAAATAATAAATTCCTCTGCGAGCTTCTGGGAGATTTATTTTTTCCTCGCCCTCCAGAAATGTGTCGCTCCGATCTTTTGCTCTCGGTCACACCGAACACATTAGCAGTCAGAGAACACAGATGCCTCACATTTGGTGGTTCAGAGGAAACTGAGCGTACTGTCAGCGTCTGTGAGAGGAGAGCTTGGCGGAGAAATGGACGTCCAAATATAGGTGCAACATCATGAGCATCATCAGAGGAAGAGGACATCTTAACGGCCGCCACAAGATTCAGGAAACAGATGAGTTTAGGTGGCGAAACTGTGCAACATGGCTCAGATAATAACTTTCATAGAGAAAAACTGATGATTCAGCTTCACGTTTAAGTCCTTTTGGGCGTGGTGCAAACTAAAATGTATGTATTTTTATAGTTTTATTAAAAATCAACACTAAATATGATCATACTGAGATGACTCAGTCATGGCTGATTTTAATAAAGAAGCTCCCAAGATAAAACCAAGCATAGTGAAGCATGGGCAAAAAATGAAATCGGAGGAAAATACATTTGTTGTATGAGGTACAGAGTGGATTTAAACACGGAGGGGGGGGCGAAGTTAGGACAATTCCAAGGGCTCCTGACCGACAGGGGGCGCCACAAAAAGTTTTCTTTGGCGGTGGTCACTGTTCAGCAGCGGTCAGTAGAAAACAAGAACAGCAGAAAGCAGACACTACGCTGCTAAGAAAATAACAAAGTCAGGTTTAAGAAAAAGAGGGGGAGAACAAAAGAAGTCAGACAAAAGAGTGACAACTTATAACCAAGTTTTTCTCCAAGAGAGGTGGGTAGACTGTGAGATTATCAGCCATTTAGCATAGTTAGCTTAGCTACAAATTACTGTCCATTTCACTAGCATTTAATGAATGAAGAAAAAATTACCAACATGTTCATATATTTAAGTTGTCTCTGTACCTTTTACCACACTTAACAGGTGAGTCAGTCAGCAGCAGCTCTAACCTCGATACCAGCATGACCTTTAACCCCTGTCCCAGTGAAAGAGGTGAGCAACACTGTGTACAATGACAAGCTAGCTAGCATCATTACAGGGAATCTATGTGGATGTTTTTCTGTCACTTTGCTCTTTTTACAATTACCAAACAAAAATAATATATTTATTACTCACGGATATTCAAACAATTTTTAATAAAATGATAATAAAAAACAACCTGTCTGGACTGGAGCCAGTTTAATTGACATGTTAAATTACACAGTAAAACAATTAACAGCAATGTTTTGGTTGGTCTTTAGCCTGTTATAGAAAAAAAAAGTAGAGGTGTTTGTTGTTCAAATTCATATTTTCATCATGCTATTCATACATTTATATATTTAAAACCTCTAAACTAAATATTTAATTTTCAAACTAAATATTTACTTTGGAAAATAAAAATTGAAGTTGCAAATTAAATATTTTGCCAGAAAACTAAATTAGGAGATGATTTTGTTCTCTAGCAATAGATGAAAATATTTGGAACTAAATACTTAGCATCTTTAGTTGGTAAACTAAATATTTAGCTTAAGAATTGGATATTTAGTTATTTAGCTAAATATTTAGTTTGCAGGCTAAGTAACGTATTTTCCACACTATAAGCCGCACCTAAAAACTTCAATTTCCTCAAAAGCCGACAGTGCGCCTTATAATCCGGTGCGCCTTACATATGAAAAAAGTTTTAAATTAGGCCATTCATTGAAGGTGCACCTTATAATCCGGTGCGCCTTATAGTGCAGAAAATATGGTAGTTAAGTCCAAGCTAAGTATTTAATGTAGAAAATAAATTTTGATTTCAAAAATTCATGGTTTGGAAAATACATTTTACTTTCAACTAAATATCTAATTAATAAAATAAATATTTAGTTTCCTGACTAAACTTTTAATCTGCAAGCTAAAACTTTAGTCTACAAACTAAATATTTAGCTTGTGAGTTAAATATTTAATTCGGAATTATTACATGGTGAAACACTAATAGTTTTATTATCTCTCTGACAGGCTGAAGAAACATTAACTTTTTTTTGCTGTGTACCTTTACAAATTACACCCTCATCATTGTGCAGTCTTTAATTTTAAATAAAACTGAAACATTTCCACAATTCGTTAAAGTAGCATAAATCTGTCACGTTTCTGTGCGGACTCGACTGTTTTCCTGTGGATATTAACACAGTGAAATGGGGGGAAATGCTGCAGCAAAAAAAAACCTGACATATTTTGTTGTTAAGTTAGGAAGCGAATCTTTATGTCACTGCCTGAAGCCGCTGACTCAGCAGGAGAAAACGAATGCCTGACTGGCTGAGGAGACGCTTTCTGCCGGTGTCAGAGGCTTCAGGCTGCTGGATTGAGAGCAGAACAGGGAGGAAGTGTTAGCTGTGCTCCCTCACAGTGAGAAGGTGATTAAGGTCAGGTTATTTATGTGTGAAGGTTTACTGGTTTCCCTGCCATCCTCCCAGAATGGAATGGTAATCTAGATTTTATCACTGGTGCAGAAAGATGCAGACAGTTTCATCTCAGAGTTGGTTTCATGAAATGACTGTAACCAACAGCAGAATAATGTTCTTGCTGAAAATCAATGGGTAGATGATGCTTTTTGAACTATTTTTTAAATTTATTTAAGAAACTATAGACAAATGGTCAATTTTGTTTATTTAATTGTTGCCTTTTATTTATTTGTTGGTTACTATAAATGAAACTGGCTGCAAACATTTGTAATTGTTTATTTGTATATAGAACCACTAATTTGTCTGTTTTAAAGCTGCAGATTAACTTTTGTAGTTAATCACCTCGCTTTCTGATTTGCTACTCGTCACATTTACCGGGCTGCATTTCTGTTTGTCCTTGAAGGAAAAAAACTGAATTAAAATAAATAGCCAGTGAGAGGAAAGTAGGTCAGTTATGCTGGCTTGACTTTGTGAACCATAGCATG